AAGTGTGACGTCGAACGCTCAGAGTTGATTGCTTGGAAGTCAAACGCAGTATCTTGATGATACTGGCTCGTTCGCAAGACCGTCTTCTTGAAATGACGCATGGCTTCGTCGTAGAGCTCGCGGTCATCTTCATCCGACGAAACACGATGCCGAGCAGCAGCTTGATCAAGCGCGATTCGGGCACCTTCGATGGCTTGTTTATCTTGAGCCCGGAGCTTCTTCTGCACATCTTGTAATTGGTTTTTAATGTTCACTTTCAACGCTCCCCAGACTTTGCCCGGATTATCAGCGAGTCGGAGTCTGTCACGCACCATCTCAGCTTCCTTCTCGATTGTTGAGACAACCTTCGGATAGTCGAGCAAGTATCTGATGAACTTCCAGTACCCGCGACCGTGGAGCTGTGTGCTGGATCTGAATGTCACACTGTGCACAAGGTGGTCTCCAGCATGTATCGATAAAAAGTATCTGGACGAGCCGTAGTAGCGGTTGCAGAATATTTCAGACATCAGTACGTAGTCTAATCGGTTCTTCCGTGGAAGTGGACCAGTGAACACGCGTTTTTTGTCATGATGTATACGCCATGCGTCAACAACACCAAGCCTCGCTAACCACTCAAGGCAGCTGGATCGACTCGGATCGTAGCGCAAGTCGGGCGTGGAGCAGTCGAGTCGTGGATCTAGCGGTGTATTCAAGTCGCCAAGCACAAAGTGCGTCGCGTCATCCTCGAACTCGTCAGTATCCAAGCGCGCAAAGAACTGCTGCTTTTTCTGGCGATCGACGGGCGCATATACATTATGAATGTAGATGGGAACATGTTCAACCATCCCCTTCACAATGAGGTACCGGCCGGGAACAGACAACCGTGATACAACGACAGCCGAGTCGAAACCCGGGAAGTCGGAGCGTAGTACGGTCATCACTCCAATGCTTCGACCACGAGTAGGTCGATCCAACAGTGTGTTTAGGTCATTGATAAAGAGCTTGTATGTGAAGCTCGAGGCGAGATGGAATGTGAACGTCAAGAGGTGTTGCGCGTCACTGAACTTGGTTTCTTGGACGCAGGATACCGAGTGCTTTGATAGAAGATGTTGAATGAAAAGTGGCCGTTCTTCTTGATACCGTTTGTATTGGCAGTCAAGAGACTAACGCCATTCCAGGCATGCTGGGATGAGAGGCCTTTAGCAACGAGTCGCCAAGGCACTCGCTACTGTCGTCACCGAGCCATCGTTAGCAACGCAGGTTTTCAGCACCGACGTGTCTTCAG